TTAGGTGATATAATAATTAGATCTATTTTAGCTGCGGTTGTGTGGTTGAATTCTGTTTCCAAGTGGCGGTACCAGGTTTGATATATGTCGAAGATGTTTTCATATTGAGGGTGGAAAACACATTTGTATGCTGGATTTAATTTATTTGAGTGCAATTTAGTAATGTATTGCAGTGAGGGTTTGATGCGGTGCAGTTCGAGTGAAGGTTCATCAGCCTCCACATACAAACTGTCCACGGGAGAGGCCCTAAAAGCTCCAAGACAGAGTCTTAGGCCTTTATGGTGTATAGTGTTCAATTTTTCTAAATTGCTTTTGCAGGCTCCACCATAGACAATGGAACCATAGTCTAGTTTGGAGCGTATTAACGATCTGTACAAGTGAAGGAGGGTTGTCTGATCCCCTCCCCACTCGGAATTTGAAACGACTTTTAACAAGTCGAGAGCCTTCAGGGACTTTGCCTTTAGATATTTGATGTGTGCACACAGTAAGAATGTGAGATGACGGTCAAATATGAGGCCCAGGAAATTGGCCTCCTCTACTTCTTGATAGGAGTACCATCTGAAAATAAATCTGGATCCTTGTGAGGTTTGTATTTACGACAAAAGTTTGTTTTGGATTTAGAAAATTTGAAGACGTTGTCGTTGGCCCATTTTTGAATTTCGTTAAGACAGAGCTGTAGCTGTCTTTCTATTGTATTTTTATATTCATATTGTGCCACGAAGGTGGAAAATTTCCGGTTGTCCATATTTCATCGAATATATTCAGTAACGTTTCAAAACATGAATCGGGCAAGTGTTTCAGGAGCTGATAGTGGACGTTGTTGGCTCCTGCTGCAGTGTCATGAGATTGCCCTAGGGCAGTATATAATTCATAGAGCTAAAATGTTTCGTTATAGTCCTCATCATTATCAGAGTTAAAATTTACTGTTTTCTTTTCCTGCTGATTGTGAAACCTCTGAAATTGAGGATTATAGTTTGATGAGGAGGAATGATTTGCCAAAGTGACACCAAGTTTCTTGGCTATTTCAGATTTAGTGGTTAAAAGTGTATTACCATCTTTGAGATGGTGAACTCCAGATTTTGACCCTTTTCCTTCATCTTTTGAATCATGTTCCACATCTTGGACATGGGTGTGCGGGAATTAATTTTTGAAACATAGTTCCTCCAGGATTGACGTTTATTCTGTTTAGCGGTACGTCTCACTTTAGCGCCTGTGGTTTTAACGTTATTGAAATTGAGGACAGCTGGATGTCGTCGGAAATATATCTTCCTATTTTTCTTAGCTTCTTCACAATTATTATCGAACCATGGTTTACATATATGAGGGTTTGCATAGGACTTAGACATGCTTTCGTCTCCAATAGCATTTAAAATATCTGAAAAAGTTGTATAGGATCAGGAGCAATCCTGAAACTTTCAGGTTTTAGTTTTTCAGTACATAGTGTTTTGAATAAAGACCAGTTGGCCTTTGTAAAGTTCCACCTTGTTGAAGGTGGTTCGTCAGACGGATTAATAGTTATAAGTATCGTTGGAAAATGGTCACTTCCACAAAGGTCATCATGGACCGACCATTCAAATTCATTTAAAATATTTGAATCTGTCATTGAAAGATCTAGGGCAGAGTATGTGCCAGGAGCAGGATGCAGATATGTATTATTACCATCATTGAAGATGCATAAATCATTGTTTGAGATAAAATCTTCATGGACTTTTCCCATATTATTTGTGTCAATACTCCCCCATAGGGGATTATGACCGTTTCAATCGCCCATGATCATACAGTGCTTCGGGAGCTGATCGTACAAGGTCTGAAGATTTGATTGACGGATAGTTGAGGACAACCACCAGTGGCTAAAGTGATGACGTAAATCCTGCTGGGGTATCATGCAGGAAGCAGAGGTACTGTAAGTCCCCATGATCCCCAGTGAGGTGGCCTAGCTTTACTTACTGGTGCTCAAATATGTTTCATGAATTGTTTCGAAATATAGTATGGTCAAATATGTTTTACAACTTGTTTTTAAACAAAACTTCTCATCAAAGACTAAATTGTAAATATAATAACTTGGTCTCGTCGCTATATGGCTGAGATAATGCCGATGCGACGTTAAATTTTAACTCACTCACTCACTCAACACTTTAAATCATAAGTCCCAAGTAAGAGAATCTGATGGCACACAAGTACAGTAGCGTGTATGGCCACCATATGCGTTGACAACGCCACCGCATGGACCTTGTGATGCTTGTGAACACATGATTGGGAAGACGACGCCATTGTTGCTGCAAAATGGTGCCAAGATCTTGCAAATTCTGTGGTTGGTTCTGGAGAGTGCGCAGACTTCTGCCAAGAGCATCCCAGACGTGTTCGATGGGATTGAGGTCGGGAGACCTTGACGGCCCGTCCATGACGTTGACTCCCGCATTCTGAAGGAAATTCCTTGTCAAAATTGCTGTGTGGGGTCTGGCATTGTCGTGTTGGAAGATCAAACCGGGTCCATGTGCTGCCATAAAAGGCAGAAGTTCTGGTGCAAGTACCTGGTCGCGGTAAGCAGCAGCGTTGAGATTGCCACGGATGACAGGAAGCCTGGAACGTGCATTGCCACAGAAAGCACCCCACACCATGACACTTCCGCCTCGAAATCTGTCAACTTCCGGTACACAACACTGGGCGTAACGTTCATGGCGGCGCCTCCACATCCTCGCCCTACCATCAGCAAATCGAAGATTAAATTGGGATTCATCACTGAAGAAGACTTGATTCCAATTCCTCTGAGTCCATCGTAAGTGTCGCTGTGCCCACAATTGACGTTGACGTCTGTGTAATTGAGTCAGAATCGGCCCGCAGTATGGCCGTCGTGCGTGAAGGTGAGCAGTTCTCAGACGGTTTCGAACAGTTTGCGCACTCAGTCTACCCATAAACAGTTCATTTCTGGTTGATGTAGCCGTCAAAAATCGGTTACAGAGGTGACGTAAGACAATCTGACGATCCTCTGCATGTGACGTCACACGTGGTCGACCTGGCCGAGGACGATCAGCGGTGGTACCCGTTTGCTGTAGACGCGTCTGTAAATCATAAACAGTCCGTCGACTACAACCCATCGTCCTTGCGACTTCAGCTACGGACGTTCCCGTCTGCAACACGCCGATGGCATGTTCACGTTGCACATTTGAAAGGCGTGGCATGACAAATGGCCGTAAAGACTTTTGTTTTCTTGTGGTTTTTTTATTTTGTTAATGCCTGCTAACAAGTATGGCTGAAAACACGTGCGGTTTTATGGCCACGTGACCAGTTGCACGTGAAAAACCACTTTTGACACTATAGTGCTGTGCACATGATTTTGATCGATTCACCTGCACAAAAACGGGTGTTATCTGAAGACAATATGTGGCCATTACTGTTTAAATACACAATGATAACTGGTCAAAATGTTAAAATTTTAGGATTGTGAAGTTTTTAATTTGGTTCGGTTTACGTCCCGCTATGTCACATCTATCTTCCTGTGATGGGTAAGCAGTGCATATCACTTTTGGATTTGATGACTTTGGATATTGTTGGAAAGCCAGACAACTTCAGTTGAATGTTCTTTAATTTGGTTAAACCGTGTGATGAAATAAGAACGTTGTGCAACACTATTTATACCATGTATACGTCCTTTGAGACAGCGACTTCAGCAGAAAAAAACGTGACACCAACAAAGCGTAGACTAATGATGCTCTGGAAAAGACCGTAAATTTCAACGATCTAATTTGTTTGACACATGTGCTTATTATGATAATGTTCATACTTTATCTGCACCCGTGAAGATCAGGTGTAGAACAGGTCTTCAGCAACCCATGCTTGCCGTAAAAGGCGATTCTGCTTGTCGTAAAAGGCGACTAACGGGATCGGGTGGTCAGGGTCGCTGACTTGGTTGATGCATATCATCGATCCAAATTGCGTGGATCGATGTTCATGATGTAAATCACTTGATTGTCTGGTCCAGACTCGATTATTTACAGACCGCCGTCATATAGCTGGAATATTGCTGGGTGCGACGTTAAACAACAAACAAACAAACAAACAATCATACCTTATCTGAACTTTTTACCACAGTTTCTAATCACTTGATTTTAGCGTATTTAAAGGAAATCAAACTCTATGATAAAATATAGATTTCTAACTGAACAGTCAGTCTTTTATCTATGCATGTGATACATGACTGAGATTTTAGTGATTTTCAACATCACTTGGTTATTATATTGGTTGATATATGATCACACAGAAGACATTTCTCGCCGCGAATAGCTGCAAAATTGCTGATGCGGCGTTAAGCAACATTCACTCACTCACATATGCTTATTACAGCTTGCGGACGATATACGGAAGTGCACGGTTTGAGGGAACGATGTTTTCATCAAACAGAGCAGGGAAGTGGTCATACATTTTTAATTCTACGGAAACTGGCACATTCTAAATATGCTGCTCTTGCGGACCTGTGTGTGGTGTGTGCAGTGTGGTTCCAAACTTTTACATTCATCTGATAGGATAGTCTATCCTTGCCATATCAACACTTGCACTCTGATTCACTGACAGGGATAAAGGACTCGATTAAAACCAAATTGATTGAAATTTACGTTGGCATTCTATTTCCCTTTTCCATTTTTCATATATATCATTTGTGGAGGTGTCCAAGAACTGCGAATACTTTAGAGCAATATAGAGCCTGCTTCTTGAGCTTGTGAAAGCGACGTAACAAAGTCATATTGCCATTAACGCTAACCCTGACGATAAGTATTGGTCTTCAGCAACCCATGCTAGTCGCAAGAGGCGACTGAAGGGAACAAATGGCCAGGCTTGCTAACTTGGTTGATGCATATCATCGTATCCCAATTTCGTATATCGAAGCTCATGATGTCAATCACTGGATTATCTGTTCCAGATTTGATTATTTACAGTTCTCCGTCATATAGCTGGGATATTTCTGAGTGCGGCAGTTAAACAAAATACAAATAAACAAAGCTTACCTAAACAGCACACCTGACCAATTGGACACGTGAAAGCGGGAACTAGTCCTGCGGCATTACAGTTGCTAACACATGAGAATCCGGTTGATGGGCATGCTGAAATAGTGAAAAGAATTTAAGAACAAATCTAATCGTGGGTCATTGTCGTTAATCATGTCTGTTTTTCACAAAACAGATAATTTTGAAATACCGTGGCTCAAATCATCTAATACAATCAATGTAACAAAAACATGCTTCACTTGAACCCTTCAGAGTAATATAATTGGAGACCGACCATTTCATGTTCTTGTTAAGGGCATGAAATAATTTTGAAAAGTACAGTCTGTTCCCAAATCATGATAAAAAAATCATACCTTGTCGTCAGGTTTTACAAGAAACATGACAATTTCAAGGAAATGGGATAGTGGCGAGTTGGTCTTCACACCACACAGAAGTTATCTCTAGTCGTGTCCGCAGGAGCTGACACTTACGGGCAATGGAACACGTGTCTTCAGAATAACGAGCACACGGTTTTACCACTTGCCAACCTTCCACGCTGGATGTGAAGCTTACAAATCAAAATTTGGGCTCCAGCCAAAGGAGAACACGATGCAATACTTCAGGTGAGACAGTAATGACTCCCTATCTACCGCGAATGACATAAAAACTTCTAGCTTGTCTAGCTTGTCCAAACATCTTGTTAATGTCTCTTTGGCTAATGCAGTTACTTCCAAGAAGATGCAGCACCGTATCATTACCTTGTCCATCTACTCGTGTGAGACATAATATCAGAAGAAGACAGCATATTTGAGCAACTGCCATTTCGAGGTTCTGCATGCGTCCGCTCTTGAACAAGTACAGATTTCGTCTGCTATGTTTTTGCCTTTTAAATGATAAATATACATAAATTATTTACTTCCCCTAAGGCACCGTATGATCTTATCGATGACAGGTGACAAGTATAATCCTTCATCTTCCAGTTCACTTACTATTTTGTGTAATTATCACGTATTAATGTTTTATCTATGTGGTCAGATGACTTTGACGAGAATATAAATACCGCGCCCCATGGCCCCAAGATTTGACTTAGAATCATTTCTTGCAAGGGGATACTTACACAACAATTGAGTATTGTGAGCAAATGTCCCGCACAATCGGGGAACTCTAATACACAATAAATCAAATCACCGGATATATTCTGACCCGGAATACACACGGGGGCGAAAGTAAACAACTACTGACAAGGGACTATGGGGTAGGGGGTTGTGGTTTTATGTACAGGGGCCGATTTTCACAATGTGAGTGAGGGAGTTTGAACGTCGCATCAGCATTATTTCAGCCATATGGGGATTTACCTCATAAACTACTTGAAAGAAATTGGTCTGTATAATGAGTGAGTGAGTGAGTTAATGCTTTACGTCACATCGGCAATATTTCAGCCATATCGTGACGAGAAATGTTACATTTGTAATACATACATTTTTAACTAAATTAAAACCTGTCATCGATGGACAGTAAAATTACTAGAATATCACAGTTTATTATTTAAAACTAGCATACAACTATAAAAAAAGATAGCACTATAAATTACGGTACAATATAAAAAAGGGCTATAGTTCGCCAGCAGCTGAAGGTAGATCACCATGCTAGGGTCCATGGGGACTCACAGTACTTTTGCTACCTGCATGGACGGTCTGTATAATGAATTTTAAATATGTATGTGAATAATTAAATGCTTGTTTTTAACTTTGGTGTGATGCTACTATTCACAGACATTATTGAAGGCTCTGTCCAGGAGGTTAAAGTACCGTAAAAATATTGCGCCCCTGTGTGACACGTAATCCTATCATAATCAATGCAACTATCATCAACCAGTGTTTTTAGGCCAACTCATGATCATTGATGAGTATTTAAATATTGGCTAGCATTCTGCACAACCACCAGTGGCTAAAGTGATGACCTAAATCCTGCTGGGGTATCATGCAGGAAGCAGAGGTACATGATCCCCAGTGAGGTGGCCTAGCTTTGGTTACTGGTGGCCTATAGCCCGTGTTTTAAAACTGTATATATAATATTGTTATGCTCAAATATGTTTCATGAATTGTTTCGAAATATGGTATGGTCAAATATGTTTTACAACTTGTTTTTCAACAAAACTTTGTATTAATGACTAAATTGTAAATATATTAACTTGGTCTCGTCGCTTTCTCACTGAGATAATGCTGATGCGACGTTAAATTTTAACTCACTCACTCACTGCACCATGTAAATGCCCTTAGTTCAACGAGTCTCTGTGTAATAATGGTGCTCATTAAATGGCATAATCATTCATTCGAGTGGGACAGATTTCGTCATACGGTTCATTATATCCTTTGTCATGAAAGGTTCACCGTCACGCATATATTGCAATTGCAAGGGATTCACATAATCAAACAGTGAATCTGAAAAAATTATTTTCTGTGTAAGCGGACAGCTCATCCTAAACTTCTTGAAAGAAATTGGTCTGTGTCATAATTTTATCCCCCGCCGGGCCAGAATGGCCAAAAGAGGATTATGTCCACAGCAAAAAAAGTGTAGGTTTCCGTCTTCCGGAAACCTTCCCATTTTGGATCCGGCCCGGATACCTTCCCAAAAAAATGTCAAAATTTGGGGGGTGCATTTTGTTCACTTAAGTGTGAAACACATAAAAAAATCATCTAGAAAATACCAAGAAATTTGAAGTTTGCTGAAGGCATCTGGAAGGTTTCCGGAAGGTATCCGGATGCAAATTTTCTTCATGTCTTGTTTCTGGAAAAATAATGTTAGCCTGTGCATTACAGATTCTGTGTTACTTTAATGGAAAATATCCTCCTAAAACATTTTTGGAGAAGACAATTGTTCAATTTCATATATTGTTCTTTTCAGATGTTAATGGTATTTAATGAAGAATAATCAGTTCTCGTATATTGAAATCCTTAAATTTCATGTCCAGACTTCCAGTTTGTACTGAGAAAAAGAAAAAGACATTGACAATGTGCTCACTTGGGCCTTTGGTCCTAGTGAGATGATGATAAGACTATTTGTAACGGTACATGTACTTGTTATATCCAAAATGCTAACTTCATTGAAATTTGCCTCACCCTAGTTTTATGGTACTAAAGTGAGCTCTTCCTCAGTTACTGTGAATTCTTTTATCAAAAGAGATTGAGAGTTAATTTGACACTGGTGTTGTAACCACTGCTCATATATGTGTATTCAAATAATATAACAACTATGTGCTTAATACTTCACAAATATCTCCAGAAATAGGCATTTTAATTGCAGAAATACTTCATGAATGACCCCTTCACTATTGCCTTGATCTTACACTTCAACCCTTCATGAGTTATCACTTTTGAGTGTGAATTTGACCTTCAATATCAGTGATAAATATTTCAAAAACATTTCAAAGAGCTATCCAGCACATAAACCAAATATGCAGTCCTTTGGTAGAATTCAACATATCATTGACAAAAATATGAAAATAATATAACCAGTATATGTATAAGAGTTACTAAGACTTACTGCAGGAAAAAGGCAATTAAGGGGAAAATGTAGTATATATAGGTCACGCACGACCTTTTTCCAACTTCGGCCCTGCCCAAAGTTAGACCACAAACAAACTTTTTGTCTGGTTGTGACTTTGACCTTTGACATAACAGATCAATGTGTCATCCGTCTTTCTCGGAGCTAAGGAAACATGAGTTATTTATTCCTGAGATGCCCAAGCAATGCATGGTTTCATAAGATAAGTGTGGCTATTAAACTGAGGCACAATCATGAAACATCCCCATTTACACAGCTGGCAAATGAAACATAAGCAACAATCAAATTATCAATTTCTTTTATTCACATGCCTATAGTATATCGCACATTGAACAGTGTTCACATGATGGTTCCTGATGCAGTATGCAATTTCATCCTATTCTTCAATACTCATAACAGAGTGTGATAACTGTTCGCTTGTCAGTACATAAGGATTATGTTCACCAGTTCAGAGAACTTACTTTCCCGCAATTCTCCTTTTCTTTCTATATTGCCATGGATGAACAGGAACCAGGATGAGGGGATACCAGTTGGACTCTATCCCTGCTGCATTGTGTTAGTAGAATTGTGAACTTTCCATTTGGTGTTTGGGTCCACATTTAAAGACCATAAGTCCCATTTATCATTCCTTTCAAGTGTTTACCACATGGCTCAAGACAAGAATTTCTTGAATGTCCTGGAAGGATCCCACTCCAGCTTGGCATTGGTTGGTCTTCTCACATTAGCCAGACCAGCCTTTGTGTGTCCCAGTACCATTGGCATACAACTTCTCGGTCGGCCTCCATTGAAATAACAGGACCCTCGTCATCGCTGGCTGCAAATCACCTCTGATATCCGAAGGGCTGCATTCTCTGTTAAGGACTCCCTTGTCTGGTCCTTCAATACTGTCAACGTGGAGTACTCATCCAGGGATCTCAAGCAGGACTTCAGTTTCTGCAGCATTATGTACAAAGATTTTAGCAATCAAAAAAGAATTGTTGCCACATGTACTTACAGATAGAAGGCAGCAAAATCACTTAAGTTATCATATGTGAGTCTTGTTATATGCCAAACATTTAAGATAATCACATTTCAACCAGACAAACCAGTGATTAATGTTATGAACTCGGTCCAGACAAACCGATGATAACTGTTATGGACAATATCCCACATCATTGTGGTATGATTACATGCGATCAATGAGCCTATTCGATCACTACCTGATCTATTAATTAGGCTTGTATGGCAAGCATAGAATGCTGGGAATCTTTTTAAGAGATGTCATTTAGTGATTGTTTCAACTCATCAACATGGAAAATATATATTTACAATCCTTGTCATATAGCCAAACTATTGCTGAATGCGGTGTTAAATAAATGAGTTGGGTTTAACACTGCTTTGAACAGTATTCCAGATATATCACCGTCTGTTAGCTTGACGTGGGAAGAAAGCCATAAGTGATGCAGGTCTTTGATGAATCCCACGAGCATGTGTATAACGCTGACAAACCTAGCAACATAATCGGGGAGAACCAGGATTTGAACCCATGACTATAGGTTTCTGCTAAGCCCAAGAGATGCAACTCTGCACAGCAAATTGTAGTGCCTTAGATAATAGGACATCCGTGCCCACAGCGATAAGGAACAAACTGAAGAAATATTTGCAAAATAACCATATGAACCAAACAGAATAATTTCAAAATATTTATCACTTACTGTTGCTCTTCTATGGTCTTTCTTTGCATTGATGCTGCACAGATGACTGTCTCTTTTATTCATCCGGACATTCTGCAAACATAAGTAGCATTCACATCACAGAAATGTCCAAACTGTACATTTGATTCAAATGAAAAGACCCCAGTTGTGATTCCGACTTAGAACTGCCCTAATTATAATAATTCATGTCAAACATTCTGATATGACATTTATCCCCATATTTAAAAAATGTCAAAACAATATTTTGACAACAAAGTCAGGGTCATTCAACACATACATTACATAGGGAATAACTTGTTCGACAATGCAGAAAGATCCTCACCGAGGTCAATATCATTCCATGAATTATTGCTAAATTTTCTTGAAATGCAGATTAATGCAATGCAGTATTTACTTTTATTTCTAGGCTATTTGTTTGGCTTTTCCATGGCACTGTTTTGACAGAGATCTAACCTTGATATGACTCTTTGTTCAGAAATGATATGAATAAGATAATACTTTATTATTCCCAAGGAAATTTGGGCTACATTGTAAAAGCACAGAAAAACAAGTATAAGATTCATGATTTAAGTTAAATACACTCAAACATACACGCACAAACACA